AAAAATACATATATAATAATGTATGTCGTACTTACCTGCTCCAGATGGATGTTTTTATAAATAACGGTCTGGTTCCACTCTGGGTTCTGAGTCTTCTGGACATACTTAATCCTTCTCTTGTTCTCAGCACTGTGAGGTTATCATGTGGAGACAGGATACAAGGAGCAATAAACTTAGATGATGGATTTCAAATGTTTATGTAGCATATTTATAGCCACACTTGAGGCTAGTGGGGTTTCATAAAGAGATGACCTCACAAGAGGCAACACCGATGCATCTACAGTCCATGCCACCAATGATGATTATGACATTATCAGATCACAGACTAAAATGTGGAAAAATTCCATCTTCTACATGAGTTTATGGGCAATCTATGCAAGCATACAGCAGCACTAGACTCTTACAATGAGCTGGTGTGAATTTGCACAATGGTAGAGTTGCACAACTGTACTTAATATTTACTGACTTTGAGGGAATCGTTTCAAGAATTTATTGACATCAAACAAACTTCAGAGGTAGAGGTTGCTTTGAGGTAGATCTGAGACACAGCACAGATGACATAGTAGGTTTCACCACATGAATGACAGCTAGATAATGAAAGAAAGGAAATCCAAACACACACACACACGCACCAATGAAAAAGCAAAATGAAAAGAAAAAGAAACACCACGCTACCTTGCGTTCTGGACAACCATGACTTGGCTGAACCATTCCGGAGATTTGTATGGAATGCAAAGTAAAAGTAGACAGACAAACAGACAACAGTCAGAGAATCCAAGGAAAGGGTAGACAGAAACTCCTCAAAAAACGTTGTGGTCCAGATGGAGTCGTGGCTGTGGGGCTTTTAGAGCCAGACAAAAGGATCATTTGTGCAGGTAATAGGAACTAATCTCATAAACACTGCAGATATGGCCATTAGGAGATGGCAGATATAGCATTACACACCCCATACTGGTGGAAGCCATATCGATTGTGCTGTCTCCGCAGTCCGAGACACTGAGCTTGATTACTAGGTAGCATGTTAAGAGAGGAAGGCTAAGCTAATAAAAATTGACTTCTCTAAGGAAGATCTCTTCCACTTTAGCCTTCCAATAAGTCATTTCTGTACTAAAGAGATGAGGACTTCTGCCCAGGAAGGGAGACCTTTAAGCTCACTTGATATGCAAGTTTTTATCAGTTACATTTTTTTATTCCGCCATCCAGCATTTAAGTTTATTGTTAAGCGTTTTTTACATTTTCATTCCATTAATTATTATGGAATAATTTGTAAAGGGGTACAACGGAGCTACAGGCACACTTGATATTGTTTTGCAGAATCTTGATATTGAAATAAAGGGATTTTTCGAAGACAAAGAGTAAAACAATAACAGGAGCTATTCCAAGAAAAAGGGTAAAGGAACTAAATTAAGTGACTCAAGATTCAAGTAACTTAAAAAAAAAAAATCAGACAATAAATCAACCACAATTACAACATTTATATATGTGGACAAGGACAAACATAAAAGAAATATACGTAGTACGTACTGTAGAGACTCTCTAAATCTTTCATTCTTCACTCTTACTATCATTTTAAAACTTTCGCGCACACACACACACACACACAGAATCGTGTGCACAGGGATACTCACCCTCTCCCTGGCAAGAGATAGACCTTTACGAAGGGGTCTGTGTAGCCGTTGTTTTCTCTAGGAGCGAGGTTTCTAGCTTGTAGCACGTGAACAATCAGATTGCCCATATTCCTGTCGTAGTTGATTTGAAGCTGAGGAAAAGATACATTATGAGATACGTAATACTATAGATAGTCTATTCAATTTTAATTTCACTCTAAAATAAGCACTGGAAGGCTGCAATTTAAATTCAATAAAGCAGTCAATACTGGAGTGAGTCAGTAAGGCTGATAGATCATAATTAAAGCAAACATTTTTTTGGTTTTTAGTGCATTTTTCATTTATTTAAATCAATTCTTATTCATGAACAGTAACAGTAAAGAAAATGTCCTCAAAAACTGATTTTTCTTTACTTCTACACTGCGCACTTCTGCAACGTTTCATCCTGCACAAATAGTTTTGTTCACACTTTAAATAAATACCTAAATAACATGAACAATATCAATAGATATTCTGTTAAAATAGATATTCCAAAATCATTTACATGATGTTTACAAAATTGTAAACAATATAGTTAGCTGTCTTATTCAGATAAGTAGAAATGGGAATAATGACTTAATCTGCTTATGGCAATGTTTTACATGTTGCAAACATGGTCAAAACACAATCATGCAATTTAAATTATTTTTAGAATAGTCTTATAGAGTACATATAAATTTGGTGATTGTGAAATTGGTGCACAGACTCACTTGTATTTCACCAGTGACTGGATGCGGTTGTGGCTTCAGAACCTCTGCTGACTGAAAAACAAAATAATGAAAACTAAATCCATGTCTGCTTTAAATCTAATTTGCAGTTCCAAAATTTAGACACAACATTTGGTATATGCTCTATATACACTATTTGGCATCTTCCTGCACATTTTTGCACATACAGCACCTTGCTACTATGGCGTTTCTTGTTGACGGAAGGGGACCCGGGTTGCCCAGGGCTGGGGACCCCACTGGAAGCCGCAGATCCGGTGCCAGAGTGCAAGTGTCCCGCTCTCTCCAGAGCAGACAGCACGGAGGCAGGAGCCTGCTGCTGCGAAAACTTCTGCAGCTCTGCAGCCAGCTGCTTTGGGTCTATACCTGGAGAACGCTGATGCTCACCTACAACACACGCACACAAAACAAACCCATTTCAACCTACTGATCAATACAGACACCTTTTTTACGGTGAGGAGTGCAAGAACTTTGATGCACACACACCATACTAACACACAGATTCATGATCTGGAGTTAAAATTAACTTTCAGTTAAAATAGCAGATAGCCATTTGTACCTACTGGTTGCATGCATATTAGCTGGACCTGGACCATAGCCTGCTTAAAAAGCAAATTTTTGATGCCACTGAAATATGTTAGTGAAACATAAGCTTAGCCAATGTTTTTATTGATTTTCCAAGTATTTTGGACCCTGTCAATGACCAAGATGGCTGCAGAGTGGACTGATTTACCTGAAAGGGATTTGTTTTAGTGTGAAAAGCTTATTAAAGACATGTAAGCACAGTATGAAGGGAAGAATACAAAATGTTGGAGACACTCACCAGCTCTCAGCTGAGTATGGAGCTCCAGTTGTTGAGGGTGTTCTGTGTCGGAGAGCATGTTTAGATCTCTAAACAGCAGTCAAGATAACAAATATATTAGCATATTGACTTAAAGACCAAAAACTGCAATATAGTACAGTTAAAACAAATAGTTAAATTCTATCTATATGACGAAATGTAATATTGCAATACTGTCTGGGGTCATTTATATCAAAATTAATACTTTTAAAATACTTTTAATGATTTAAGATTAATAAAAAATGACATTAAATTGATCAAATGTGACAGTAAAGACTTCTACGTTTTACAAAAATGATCATGGTTTCAACAAAAAATATTAAGCAGAACAAATGTTTTCAATGGAGGAATTTTGAGTGATTTCTGAAGGATCAAGTGACACTGAAGACTGGAATAATGGTTGCTGAAAATTCAGTTTTGCCATCACAGGAAAATATGACATGATCAAATATATTCAATTAATTTTACTGTTTTTTATGGTTATTATTTTGTTATAAATGCAACAGTTGTGTACATGGTACTACCATTGTCTTTCTTCAACAAAAGAGTGTTGTTAGCATGGTTATTTTTGTTGGTGTTGTTGGACTAAATTGAGTCTTGAACACTAAATACATTATTGCAACTTACAGGCGCACACATATTTCTGCCTCTCCATACTGCTGGCCCACAATGCTTTGCACTTCTTCATATGTCTTTCCCAGCAGATAGATTCCATTCCACTCCAGAACCTGCATTCCTGAGGAACACAACACATGCCATCAGAACCAGTGAGTGAAATACATTTATTAGGTTAGAATAGTAAAAACAGATACTCACAGTGCACCTTAGCCAAAAGTAAACATTATTTGTCTGCATATTGTTATGGAAAGGATTAAAAAGAGGTGTTGCTTATAAGTCACCTACTGTATGTTTAATTTTTAAAAACCTCAAAACTAGAACTAAAAACTATTATGATAGATTCACACACAGATAGACAGATAGATGCTATTGTGATTCTGTAGGGGAAAATCAGGAAAAACAATCACTGAATTAACAACACACATAAATAACACACACACACTTTTTCAATAGCACGCTTCCCTGAGCACTTCACTCACTACAAGAAAACAGTCCTGGAGCATCAGAGACCGAAAACAAGTGCAGAAAACAGAGAGGAAAAAAAAACTATTTTAAAAGCATCACTGCAAACTCAAGCCCACTTCAGGCCAAACCCCGGGCACTTACACAAATGAAAGCGAGTCTTCAGATAGGTCTTTTGCATTCGGAGTGCTTCAGCGGCTGATGACAACAGGATATCATTCAAATGTCTGTTCATCTCCACACAATCAATCCCTTCAGTTTTCATTCAAAAACCTCTCAAATGTTCAGCAAGTATGTCAGTCATATCTCCATATTACTCTGCAAGATTACCACTAGGCTAAAACCATTATTTCAGCTTTGAAGTTAGTATCTAAATGATTCATGCATAATTGGGAATCCGATTCGGCTCCTTTGTTGAAAATACTTTGTGCTATACAAGTGAACATTTAAAATCATCTTCAAAAGCCTTTAATGTTAAAAATGCTGTAATATTTTCCATTTTTTATTCATGAACGGTATAGGTAATAATGGTAAAAATTGCCAATGTGTTACTGATTCGCTGGCTAAAGATGGAAGATCCCTGTTCTATTCAATATTAAGCATGCATACTTCATGTTTCTAAGCTGAAGAGCATGCATATGAGTATGCATTGTGCAATTGTGCATTCATTTGACTCTTGGCCCAAATAATAATATCGCTACAGCTATCAGATATTAAATCTGCTCTCTAGCACATTTTCCACTGCGGCAGCAGACATTATTATACTGTATCAAGGGAAAAGCATACTTAAGATAGAGAACAGATGCTTGTGTAATCTGCCAGCAGATTGGTGCTTGCATATTTCAGGGATGAAACAAATAAAATAGACAAAAGATCTGACACTATAAAAGGAAACATTTTAATACTAAGAGTCTTTGCTAAAATCATGAGTTATGAAAGAATAAAAATCAAACAAGCAGAAACATGTTCAGGGAGCTGAGCTATTCTCAGAGGAGCTCATCTAAATTGACACAGCATGCTGAGCCAGCATTCGTCAACAAGGAGAGCAATCATACCGCAACAATAGCCATCCCGGTTAAAATGAGAAATGGTCTTCTAAATTGGGCACTTTAAAACGCTTTATAACATGACCTTTAAGAATTGAAAAATGCATGAATGTAAACTTTTTTTAAACCAAATTTGCTTATCGCATCTATTTCGCTTCATTAACCAATTACTGTCTGCAAGAAAATTGAACTTGCTTATGTTATCTGATTGACTAATTGATAAGTTCTTACCTTCCACAACTTTTCCCATATGCTCAGCACATCCTCCTGCTGAAACCTTAGCGATGTAGGCTCCGATCTCTCCGTTGGTCCCTGGAATCTCTTTTCCACCCACAACTCTGATTCCCAGCCCACTCCCTGAATTCAGACGGGTTCAGTTTTATCTAATGAATGGCTGAGTAATTGGATTCTAATCAGAGTATCTCAGAATAATTTTAAACATGATCTCTTCATCAATACGACGGCCACGAGATTGTTGTTTTGCTTTTCCTTCCAGTAATTTAATTTGCAGGCCTAATTGACTACAATTCGCTGTGTATCTTGTGGAGTAATTGCTATGAAAACATACCTGAGATGGTGTGGTCCTTGGGGTCCCTTTGCAGTTTGATGCGAGTGTGTGGGAAGGGGTAATGGCTGCCTTTCATCTGCAACAACGAAAACAATTCAAGCAAATGAACAAAAGCTGAAGTTCTAACACGTGCTTTTGCTGATGCAGTCTGGTGTTCTTTCAAAGATAGGTGCAGTCTATTCATGTATTTGCATGGTGAATGTGGTTTAAGTAGAACATGTTCCTGGAACAACATTCAGATTGTAAGGGTTAGCCTTACAGTTTGGTTTGTGGATAAAACATTGATATTGACCTATTACAGATTTTGAGATTTTATGGTTAAAACTATAGGTATGTCGTTCCAGAATCGACAAGTGTTTCCAGGAACACATCCTACTTGGCAAAATCACGTTCACACTGGGGGTGCCTCTTTACCTGTCTTCTCTCTGGCCCGGCTTCTGGTCCACCACGTCCCTGGCGGGGTTTGTCAAACCAGTCTGTCTCCTCATGCTGAAGGTGATATGCTAGAAGACAGGAAGAAAGCATCCGCTGTACCATCACAAGAGACAAAACTGGGGCATGTGTCCCACTCCACCACTTTTCTCCTAGAGAACCATCCCTTCACCACCCCCAGTTGGGGACACTTCTTTGCTAGAGTGTTTGAACTGACAGCTTGATGGATTTGGGTCAGGGCTTCCAAGAACAATATCTATGTTTCAAAAGGGTAGGACACTAACCTCCCTTCCACAAGGTCTAAAATCAAGATCGTTTGTTTAGATCAGGGGTAGGCAAGTTCGGTCCTAGAGAGCCGCAGTCCTGCAGAGTTCAGCTCCAACCCTGAAAACAAAACTCACCTGCCTATAGCCTTAGTAATCCTGAAGACATTGATTAGCTTGTTCAGGTGTGTTTGATTACGGTTGGAGCGGCTAGGGTTGGAGCTGAACTCTGCAGGACTGCGGCTCTCTAGGACCGAACTTGCCTACCCCTGGTTTAGATAAATGCTAAGTGTACTAAGTAGCCAGACCCCCACCCCGGGGGAAGCAGTGACAGAGGATGGTGAGGACAGGAAATGCACATGAACATGCATGCTGTGTCCCTTCCGGACCGGGCTACATGTCATGCATCGAGAATTTGATAGAGAACCACAGCAGATATACACACATACACACACCATCATACAACAGTGTGATGATGAGATGCCTTACCAAATGTCTGATGACTAGTACATTTTCTGTTAGTACACTCTCTAGTACACTAGTTCGCATATACAATTAAAACACTACTCCAACAAAACGACAGCTTTAGTTCTATAACGCCAGACTTTCATGATGCTAAAGCAATTTGCTTATTTGAAATTGCAATCTGCACACCAAAAAACATTTTCTTAGTATTTTCATCGTGTTTTTCTGTAAAAATGTTAAAACATTCTTAAAGATAAATTTAGCTGAGATGCAAAATTGTAGCAAATCTAAAACGAAATCCTTTTAAGCATAAAAAAAATTATTAAATTTTGTGAGATTCATGCTGAAAATAGCAGGTACGCTCTTAAAAATAAAGGTTCCAAAAGGGGGGTTTGTAGCGATGACCTAGAAGAACCATTTTTGGTTCCCTAAAGAACCTCTCAGTGAACAGTTCTTAAAATAAACACTTTTTTTTCTTATTGTGAAGTATGAAAAACCTTTTGTACAATGGAAAGGTTTAATGGATGTTAAAGATTCTTTATGGAACCATTAGTGCCAATAAACATCCTTTATTTTTAAGTGTACGAAAAATTTGTATACATTTTTTTAAATATGCAATTTTGGCTCTCAAGTAAACTGATCTTGTCATGTCTTAAGAATGTTTAGATATTTTCATTGTAAAAACAAGACAAAATACCAATTAAGACGAGGATTTTTGCAGTGTACTTGTTCTCATCTACAGTCGCAATTCTAATATATAAGATTTGCATTCTATGAGACTGTATATAGGCCTGCTGCTGTTTTTCCAGCTTCCATTTCAAGTAGTTTAGTACTTTCTTCAAAGACATTGGGAATTCCTCGAATAATTCATAACTCGAGCTAGGGCAGACATGTCAGCACATACCTAAAATAGATCAGGCGAGCAATATCTTCTGCTTTGTTTACTGGGTGTTTTGCACAACCTGCAGGTGCCTTGATTACAATACTGTGTAAGCGAAGCATTTTTTTATGCATGAGGCAGCACAACAAGTACACCACAAATCATCATTTAAGTCCTAATAGAGTGAGAAGAAAACTGACAACTGGATCTGTCTGCAGGAGTTTTGCAATAAAGAGTCTGACGTGCTGTCCTTCTGCAAGGAAATGTCACCTTAAATCAACAGTGCCGTCACTTTATTACCCAAGTTAGAGGATGCATTGACCGTGGCGAACCTATGGCCTGTGGAAAACTGGCATTCTGGCGAACACGCTATCAGAAGGACGTTTCTCTCTAATGACTTTTATCCTGCATCACCAAAACATCACCCTTGTTCCGTATTTCAGACATCAGCTAGTTTCGGAGGATTCCATTACATTAGTGGCATTTTGGTGGGGCAAGATAAGTTCCTAGAGTGTCGTTTCCTAATGACACTAACTTGTTCTAGGAAACTTCTGCTACAGTATGCACACATATATACTTGTGTATGTAGACATGTATGTGCCTTAGTTGATATGATCAGGCCATGTCAAAGAGACCTTGAGGAAGTGCAGTGATAATGAACACCAGGATGGGTCTGAGGTGCACCACTGAGAAACGGCCGTCACTCAAGACTATGGCACGCATGAAAGTAGGTTTATGCTTAATGATATTTTGATGGTTGCTGAACAACAGTTCTCACCTTTTACATTCCAGCTAGGACCTCCAGCTGTAGTACAAACATTGCATTTCAGAGAATTCATAGTACAATTAGCCTTAAAACAGCTATGTTTTGCCAATAAAAAAACACAGTTACATTTGCAGTGGAAGTGGATGATTTACTTTTGCAAATATATAATTCATGCAATTATCTCATTTTCTAAAATATGTAAAGCACACGCCATTGTAGTCAATATTTTACTCTATAGAGAGTCTTTTAAATACATTCTGCATTCTGTAAGGTAGCCCCATAAAATTAATGATAATTGAATATAATAATATTTTTAAGATGTGCTAAAAGTATACACAAAGCTATACAGGCAATTATTTCTTTAGCAATACCGGCATTGGTGGTCTTAAATAAATGTCCCAGGTTCAAAACTAACTAAGCTCTATTGACAGCATTTATGGCACATTTGCAGAAACCACATAAAATATGTTTAAAAGTAAAATGGATGGCTTTAAAACAGCTGTGATTTATTACTTCTGTGTGTTTATACAAACTGAGACTACTGAAAGAGCTTTTTGAACCTTGAATGTTACTTCAGAATAGGTTGCTTGAGAAACACAAATAATTTCTGATATTCTTAAGACAGAGGCTGGGGTTAAGTCTGTGCAAACCCAGCAGAGCATTTAGTGTTGTAAACAAATACATATTCACATTTTGCACTCTGTTTGTTTATACCATCTGTACACCTGGCTTTTGTTAAACTTCTCAAACAGCTTGACGTTTAACACAATATTACACTATAGAGGGGATTTTAACATGTTTCTCAATGCTGTTGTCTTATTGGCATTGAGAGCGCCATGAAAGCACAAAGATTAAAAATATGTTTTACCATAAATTTGAATGAAGCTTTATATTTATTAGCCAAACCATTTGTGTAATGATCTCATATATTATCTATAAGACTGATGTTCAAAACACTTTAATACCTGGGTGATTCTAAATAGTAATACTTGTGTAATGTTCACTACAATAAAAAGTAAAAAATATATAGTATGATATAGTAAAAAAATATATAAAACACACAGAAAGAGAATTAATAGAATATTCACTGAAAAAAAAATATTATTCTTCATGTAGCATGCAAGATGTTTTTAAATTCCCATTCATAAGCCATGCAAATAAAAACTGAAATAGCAAGAATTTATTGAAGATGAAAATTGGAAACACCCATGACAGACATTAACATTACATGAAGAAAATGGTTAAACAAGCAAGTTACAACAAGTAGATTTGGAGGTAATAGAAAACTAAGCTCCAGTGAATGTATGTTATAACCAGATTAACTTCTAAATTTGTCTAAACATAGTCCCTTATTTAATTTACAACTTTATATCATCAATTGTCAAAAGCACATATCTGTCTATTTGATTGTCCACAAGCACAGAAAAGAGGAAAATCTAAATTCACTACATTAATTTAGTCATCTGATTTGTCCAATCAGTGTGATGACATACTTGCATTTTTGCAATATGAAATATTCTGGATTAATGAAAACTAGACAAACTAAACCAGGTACTTGCATGAACAATGTTATAGTCATATGTTATCATATGAGAATGTCTTCACAAGAAGACAGAGGTTTACTTATGATTAACATAAATGGCTTAGTATCCCATAGCTGCTAGAAAGATAGTGAAAGATACTGGCAGCTAGTAAACAAATTTATATTCTACCAATCAACTGCATAACTGTTTCCCCCCCAAATACAGCACAAAACAAGATGATCACAATCTCATTTATATAATTCATAAATAGTGTACTGCCTTCCTAAGACAACCAGTCACTAAATGATTCTGACAGAATTATAGGATGTTTTAACTTCATAGACTGAAGGCAGATCAGTCTCCTCGTCAACTGCAGGGCTGTCATAAATAGCACAGGCACTGAGTGTATAATGAATTAAAATAGCTGAATTAATAGTTTTGAAGATCTTCTTAATTGCTTATCTTCTTATATGTATATGACAGAACAATAATGGTGAAAGAAACAACCAGTTTCCTTTTGCATTTAAGTAGCATGCAAATTCATTAAGAAACACAAGGCAAACGTTTATACATAAAAAACAATTATGTATACATATGTAGATGAAAATTTAAATTTAAGATGAAATCATGCAAATGTGACAGCCTGCAAAGTGTAAAGCAAAATCTGAGACAAAAGATGAAAAGAGTAAAGGAAAATGTGACATTTGAATTTACACACAGATATAAATAATGCATTCAGAGCCATACAAAAGATGCATATCAACAGAAGCTAGGGTTGAAGATAACAGATCTCATAACAAATTTACCTTCGCTATCTGACATGGCCCCCTGAAGGTCATCGTTTATAAAGGCAATGTCCCGTTTATAGCCACTTGTCCTGGACTCCTCTCTCATGTGCTGTTGGACTTCTGGAAGAGAGTGACTGGAGCCAAACTGGTCCCGTGAGTCTGCTGAGATGGGTGGGAGTGGGCCTGCAGATGCTCTGGCCATGCCCATGGGCTGACCAACAGGGCTAAGTGGACTCTCCTCTTCAGAGTTTTGTGCAACAATGGGAATTCGACCCCTGCTCTGACTAATTGGCAGACTTGTCGGTTTAGCCCTAGATACAAACTGGGAATCAATACCCTCACCCTCTGTTTTCAGGCGTAGTGAGGAGTTTGACAAGTCTCTTTTGATAGATAGGTCCAGTCCATATACAGAGGAAGGCCTAGAGGAAGGTCTTGACCGAGTGCCACTGGGGTAGGTGCCATCATCATGAAGGGAAGACCTAATGGTAGGCCCTAGGTTGAGAGATTGGCCAAAGTTGAGTGACTGTGCAAGGTTAGCGCCAAGAGCTGAACCCAAATATTTCTGTTGCTCTGCTAGGTTCTTCCTAAGACCAAATGTGATCTCATCCTGCAAGAGCCTTGCCCTGGCAGACAGTCCACCAACTGAGCTGGCAGAGGCCAAGAAGCTGCTGTAATCTAGCTCATGGTCCCTGCTCTCTTGGATGGGCGAAAACTTTGTAATTTTGGGGTCAATTAGTGCTTTTTTATTCTTTAGCTGTTTCTGGTAAAGAACTGAGGCAGGAAGTTGCTTGGCAGCTTGCTTCTCTAAAGTTAGTCTCCCGATGCTATATTTCTCAGCTTTGGGGAAATGCCTAAAACTAGTGTCAGAGTGGAGGTAGTGAGGCAGGCCTGTAAGCTGCTCGAGACTATCTGTACCGCATCGGAACTCCTGCTTAATTTGCTGTTTCAACATCTTCAATTCATATGGCTCCTCCATGGAATCCTCATCTGCTTTACCATATGAATGCAATCGAGAAGCAGCCTGAAGAGGACCAAGAAAATCTGCCACATCTGCAGTCCGATGAACGTCAGCAGTCCGGAGAAGTCGGTCAGCTTTGCTGATATCCTTATCTGCGATACTGAAGCTTGAACCAAGGCCCGTGGAGCTCTTTGTGAGTTCGCCGATGTCATCAATCAAGACATAGTTCCTGGCATTATGGTGATCGAGGTCTGCATAGAAGGACTCAGCTGATATGCTGGACATGGGACTGCTGGCCATGCTGGCTCTCTCTTCCAAGCCCATCCTCAGATCAAGGCTACTGTATTTACCACCGAGATGGGAAACTCCGTAGGCACTCTCTGTGGATGTAGGGACGATTAGGAGGGGCTGGTTGCGTACGACCTCATAGTTTGTCGTAATCTTTGGTTCTAAGTCAGACAAAGTAGTCTGACGGGGTTTCTGTTGCATCAGAAGGAGTGAGGAATGGTCATAGCCAGTCTGCTGGGACTGCTGATTGAGTGAGGGCACTGATGAGTAGATGGATTGGTAGGGGGACACCTGCTGATGGTAAAGAGACTGCTGCTGGTACAATGTCTGCTGAGGATACTGACTTGTTTGGGATAAATATTGATAATGGGAGTATGGGCTCGTAAGCTGTGCATACTGAGACTCAGACTCAGTCTGTGGTGGAATTAACTGGTTAAACTCTGACTGTGGGGCAGTCCGTGGCCGTTCTAGTCCATGACCATTACCTCGTGCCTCTCTGATGTTGCTGACCTCACTATCTGACATGTAGTCTCGCTCTTCTGCCACTCCTTGTAAGTAGGCTCTCTCCCTCTTCTCTCTCTCTTTCAGTAAAGCCTCTTTTCTTCGATTTATACCCATTTCCAGATATCTCAATTTAGCATCTATCTCTTTCTCCTCTTCATCAAGTTCTGCCTGTATCTTACGGAGTTTTGAGGACTCACGTTCAACTAAATCCAGCTCTTTGTCTATGTCTTGGAGGATTTTGGCCCGCGCCATAGTGGTGTTCCTGCACATTCGTCTTCTGGTAGAAGCAGTGGTGTACCCAGAGAGGCCAATGAGGGTATCTTCTTCCGGTGGTGGATGAGGTAGCGTGCGTTTTACTTTCTTCTGAGTGCCAACTGGTGTGCCGCTCTGAGAACCTTTGCTCTGTTGATTCAAATATAAAACAGAAATAAAAAGAAAAACAAGCACGCGATAGACATGATATATCCAGCATGGACACTTGACATGTAATTATTTGGAGAAGAAAAATATAACAAATTGGTCCTTTAGATAACAAGAAAAGAGTGAATTCAAGTGCAGTACTTACAGAGTAGGTGTCTGCATACTGGTACATCATTCTGTCCTCAGTTGTCGGACTGAATGACTTGGGGTCAGACAGAGATCGTTGTGAGGCCCTTAGTGATCTTGGACTACTGAGATGCCTTGATGAATCAGCGGTAAGCATCTTCTGTGAACTTTTCCCTGGGGACACTGGTGAAACCGGGGAGCATAATACCTTTGGAGATTTGGTAACTAACGATGCTCCAACATCACCAGCTGTCAGGTGTGTGCTAACACTTATCTCAGCAGGAGCTGGACGTCTTTTATCTTTGTCTGATGTAATATCCGAATCGCTTTCTGTTTGGCCCTCTCTGTGTAAATCTACTTTTGTGTCCACCTGAGCCCGAACAGGAGATCTCCTAATTGTCCCTGAATGCTCTGTCTGAACTGAAATCTCGGCTACAGTCTGAATCGCAATACTTGATACCTTGGAGCTTTTTCCCTTCTCTCCATCAGCATATCTACTGGAACGAGACCTGCGTCTGCTCCGAACGGGGATGTCCCATTCATCCTGATCCTCATCATCAGTTTGCACACAGCTATCTACACTCCTCCTACTTCTTCTCCTTCTACCAGAAGGAATCTTTTCAACCCCATCTTCATCGTCTGTTTGAACACCACTCTCAATCAATTTCTTTCCACTTAATCCCACACTTTGCTCTTGCTTGGCTGTATCTGGCAGGTTTGTGGACAACTGCAGTTGATCCTTTGTCTGTGCACTCACTGATACAGGAATGCTTGAACTATACTGTGTAAAAGCCCCAGAAGTTGTTGTTAGCCAGTTTTGACCTGTTGTGGAGTCATGGGTGGACACTGCAGATGATGTTGAATTGTCATCCTTCACTGGCCAGTATTGTCCATTATCTCCCCCAGAATATTTTGAGTCAAGTATGATGTCTGAGCTCAAGGGTGGGGACATACCCTCACTTGGCCCGAACCCATATGGGTATATCTTTTGCTCTTGTAGTTGTTGCTGGAGTTGCTTCTGTAATCGATGAATTTGCTCTAACTGAAGTTGCTGCTGTGCAAAGGTTTCTTGCTGAAGAATCAGATGGGCTTTGCGTTCCTCTTCTTGCTGCATTAGAAGTTGTTGCTTCATGTTCTGAAGCTCCTCCAGCTCCTTCTGAACAATGATCTGGAGCCCGAACAGGAGATCTCCTAATTGTCCCTGAATGCTCTGTCTGAACTGAAATCTCGGCTACAGTCTGAATCGCAATACTTGATACCTTGGAGCTTTTTCCCTTCTCTCCATCAGCATATCTACTGGAACGAGACCTGCGTCTGCTCCGAACGGGGATGTCCCATTCATCCTGATCCTCATCATCAGTTTGCACACAGCTATCTACACTCCTCCTACTTCTTCTCCTTCTACCAGAAGGAATCTTTTCAACCCCATCTTCATCGTCTGTTTGAACACCACTCTCAATCAATTTCTTTCCACTTAATCCCACACTTTGCTCTTGCTTGGCTGTATCTGGCAGGTTTGTGGACAACTGCAGTTGATCCTTTGTCTGTGCACTCACTGATACAGGAATGCTTGAACTATACTGTGTAAAAGCCCCAGAAGTTGTTGTTAGCCAGTTTTGACCTGTTGTGGAGTCATGGGTGGACACTGCAGATGATGTTGAATTGTCATCCTTCACTGGCCAGTATTGTCCATTATCTCCCCCAGAATATTTTGAGTCAAGTATGATGTCTGAGCTCAAGGGTGGGGACATACCCTCACTTGGCCCGAACCCATATGGGTATATCTTTTGCTCTTGTAGTTGTTGCTGGAGTTGCTTCTGTAATCGATGAATTTGCTCTAACTGAAGTTGCTGCTGTGCAAAGGTTTCTTGCTGAAGAATCAGATGGGCTTTGCGTTCCTCTTCTTGCTGCATTAGAAGTTGTTGCTTCATGTTCTGAAGCTCCTCCAGCTCCTTCTGAACAATGATCTGCTCTTGCTCACGGTAACGCTGTATCTCTTGCCTCTCCCATTCAAGCTCTTCAGCTAGACACAGCTGTTTCAACTTCTCTAACTGTAAGAACTCATGTTCAGCCTTGTACTGCTGGCTCTTGCTGTCATCTAAATCAGGGAAATTCGGGGATACCAGCATGTCCAGTGAGGCTGCTATTGCCTCAAAAGTAGCATCCGAGTAGAGCTCAGGAAAGGTTGTCAGGGAGGGAAGGAGACTGGCTAATGCAGAAGGTAGGATATCCTTTGATATATCAGACTGTGGGAATATTGATTGGTCTGTGGCTGTGGTTTGTACAAAGCCATATGGAGCAGGCTGATTTGGAAGTGCTGAAAGTGGATCCGTAGAATTGGTTAGATTATTGTATGTTGTGCTAAATATTGAACCTGGTTGGATAGTAACTGCATACGTGGAGGGAACGGGTGCAGCAACCGATGAGTAAACAATGCCATTTGTCGTTCTTAGTAAACTATTAAAGCCAAACGATGTTCCTTGAGAATATGGAGTAGTGGTGATCCCAGTAAATGCCAAAGTGCTTTTCTTTGAGTAGTCTAAGGCCTCTTCTGTTATGTTAGGAAAACAAGAATAGCAGCATCATCAGCATCTAAATGAACAATTGCTCTGTTTCATGCAACATTAACTAATAAAACATCAAATGGAAGCCAAAGAGCATGCAAATATCTTGTCAGTGTCATCAGATTAGCAGGATGCAAAGCCAAAACACTGAGGGACAACACGGAGGCAAACGCATGCATCTGTGTTAAAAAAAGAACAGAAAAAGACAAGAATGAAAATCAAGACATTCAGAGAGAACATCACAAAAATAAGGGACATAACCAATAAATAATACATTAACATACAAATAAAAATCAATTAAGAATACATGCGCACCATCATACTGACCTGTTGACATTTTAGCTGATGTCAAATCAATAGCCCCCTCAGATGCCCCATTCTGATAGGTGAATCCATTCTTCCTTTCATAACTAAAGAGCCCAGCCTCTTTGAAATTACTGTCAGATATTGAAGCCTTCATGGTACTGAGATCTTCAGTGACAGGCATTGTGGCAATATCAATTTGATAGCCAATTTGATTGTCTGGTTGTATGGTCACTGGAGGCTGTGTTCTGCAGCTCCCTGTGAAAGGAAGCTTGTAAATTACATCACAGCAAACAGTCCGTCTTCCAGATGTTAGATCAACTGGTGTACCGTCATCTTCCAAAACAGTTGTGACCACTCCAGAAGATGAGGACAAAGCAACCATTGTTTTCATTGGCTTAGACGTGGTGAGGTCTACAGGTCCAACTGCCGTTGGCTCTGTATGTATTGGTATACCAACAGGGCCATTTGTGAAGTTCACCGGGGCTATAGTAACAGGCATAAGAGTAGGAGCTGTGCTTGCAACAGCTCTGTATGAAAGGTTAATAGGAATCTCTGCACTGGTTGTAGCCTTAGGTTGTGAATTTACAGGTCTGTACACTATCTGTGCAAGTGGCTCAAATGGATTGTATGTGGTAAGTGGAAGAGGCACTGAAGTAGCATTTCCCAGGTCCAGAGGCTTGTCAACTGTGTTGTTGTTGTAGGCAATTGTAGCTGTGCAAGTAACGATTGTTATGCTGTCAGTTACAACTGAGAGTGTTGTAGTGGGGATTATTTCAGCACTAAGATTCACAATTTCGGGCTGTACAGCAGTGGCATGTTGCCCACTTGATTCACTTGACAAGGAAGACCTACTTGAATCTGGGGCTGTCAAATCCATTCCTTGGTCAGTCATTGTAACATTAACTTTAAATGTGGTAAGATCTATAACGTCACTAGGGTATTGTATTCTTCCATTCTGTTTAGGCTTTGGATGGACTTCTGGCTGGATTGTGATTGTAGCACCCACAGGTTCAGGTATGGGTTCGACAGGAATCCTCTCCTGGACAACTGACACAGTTGTTGTTCTTTGTACTTCAGTCGTGACAACTTGGGTCACGAGATTAGGCAATGCATCAGGACGCTGCTCAGTTGTTGAGATTGCAGAGTAGACTTGGCTCATGCTTGATATGACCTTATCTTGTCCACAAATTTCTTGACTCTCAATAGATTTTGTAAATTGGGTAAATGTGACTGGTACTGGTGGCACAGTTGTTGCAGAGGTCACTACTGGAATTTCTTGTTTTTGCTCATAAACTGTTTGCTGCTCTTGAAGCTGTGTTATTGGTACTGGTGATGGACCCAGTTCAGTTAAGGCCTCTTCAGAAGCTGAGACTATTAGTATTTCTTCCATATCCAAACCAGGAATGTCTTCATTTTGAGCTGGGTTTGGAATCTGGGTTACTGTTATTGGAGCAGAATATGTTTTTTGCATTTGTTGCATCTCAAGTTCTTGTTGCACAGCACTCACTGTATAGTGAGGAACTGACTCAGTAGAAACTCCTGACCCAGGGGCTAAGGCTACTGGTACCTCCTCTGACAATTTTGATGTATGCACCACTGAGATTGGAGCCATGGCAAGAGGAGAAATCAAGGAAGGTGTGGAGTATGTCATTGCCGGATATGCTGTTGGTTCCATAGAAATGGGCGGTGGTGGTGGTGCTGCAACAGGTGCTGCTGAAATCAAAGCAGATGGTGCCATTACAACATGTGGTGTTATAAACGCAGATGGGGAATGCATTGTATTCTCCATTGTGATATGAGGAACAACAGTCATAGTCTGTGATAGTCCTGATGATGCCACTACAAGAGGTGCTGAAACGAATGTTTGTACAGAAGCAACTGGCAGCTCTGGGACTGTTACACAAGGTTCCATAATACTTTGACTTGAATCCGCAGCTAGTGTAATATGATGAGTCTCTATTGTGACTGAAGCAAAGTCAGGTGCCATCACCACAAGGGGTACTGCTGTATTTAAAGCTGATGTAGGCTTTGGTGGGGCTCCTACAATTTGTGCTGAAATTAATGACACAGGTGCATCCACTGCAGATGGAGCAAACACTCTTGGGGCATCAGATGGAACATGCTGTCTGGGAGTTGGCAGTGATGATCTTCTCATCGGTGCTTGAGTTGTAATGCCCTCAACAGGTGATCCTGGTTCTGAGGGTAATGTTATGACCACATATGTTTCAAGAGTTCTAGCAAATCTGGGTGATAAAGGTGATTTTGGTGACGAAGCACTGTGCTTGGTCTCTACAGGGGCAGTCAAACTTAGTGACAAAGCATTTGGAGGTTCCCTTGTTCTTGGCAGCGTTGCAGCACGAACTGCTTGAACAACTACTGGCTCAGGGCTAACTGGTGGCTTTACGCTCTCTCTTGATCTGTGACTAAATACCAGTCCTGGGGGAATGCATACAGGTTTGGGGGGAACAGGGGGTGGTGATTTGTGTGTTGGCGTCACAGCTGGTTTTATCTTTATGCTGGCCACATTTGGTGGGGGTTCAGGTAGAGTTACATTACCTGATGAAGGAGTTGGAATAGACTTTTGTTGGTTAAAATCAGCCTTGGGTACTGCGCTATATGGCAATTCTAGTGGTGAAGCTGGAGGAGGTGGTGGAAATGAAATCACTGGTTTATCTGTTCTTTCTTGAGGAACATGGGGTTTTGCAGATGTCACACAAGGTGGAACTGTTGAATCAGTGATGAAACTTGATATTGTGGCTGGATAAGTAAAAGGAGAAACACTTACAATAACAGGGTGTCCTCTCCCATCTTCAGTAGTTGTTTTAACTGCCACATTTTCAAGATTTGGCAGTCTGACAACAACGTGACCTTGCTGTGTCTGTACAACAGGAGAAATTATTTGTGAAACTGACTGTTGAGAAGAAATTCCATCATCTGGTACATTTTCCTTCTGTATTTCCACCATCCTTTCCTGAATATTGGTTAGCATTGATTGAACTGGTTGGGAGGGTGAAGCTCCAAAAGCAACAGTTGTAGTAACAATGGGAGAAATAACAGAGACTGTCTTTGCAGCAATATGCTCTCCATGACTTGCTGGAGGTGAAACGGTGGCTGCTTGGCCTAATTGGGGTGTCATGTGTGGTCTGGTTTCTGCTGGCCTCTGAATAGGAATTTGAATAGAAACACTGGTTGGTGGCTGAATCTCTTTTGCTAAAGCAGAAATACTGGATTGAGCAGACAGTAGTATGGCCACTTGTTCAACAGCTGAGCTGGTCTGGTCTGTAGAGAGAACCTTTGCTGGTATTGAGACTGATACCATTGTTGGAACAGAAATAGGTGCTTGATCCACTGCTGAAACTATAGCTGGAAGTGGGGCATAGGTTAGAGAAGGTACTGGAAAGGTCAAAGATATTGATTGAGATGGAGATGTAGCCAGGTCTGGCATCTGTGCAGTGGATGGCGGGGTAGGCACTGAAACTGGAGTTTGTTCTTGAACTGGATGGTCTAATGCAGGGGACACAAGATCGGGCATTTGAACAATAACAGAAGTTTGTGTTAAAGGTCCTTTGTGAGACTGAATAATAGGTGTAGCAACTGTAGTAGGAGGAGTTTTTACGTGGTCAACTTTTGTATGAATTGTTGGTGCAACAGCTTGTTTTTCTGTTGTGGCTGATTCAGCAGCTGAAAGTGGTTCATGTATTGAACCGGCCAAAGGTCTTTGAGCTAAATCTTGAAGAGCTGAATCCAGTGTACAGGATGAAACACTATCGGGAGTAGGGACTGTTTCCTGTGTAGGTTTTGATATAACTGTTGGTTTTGGTGCAGGAGTTGGTTTTGGACCTGGTGTTGGCTTTGAAATAAGAATTTCAGAAGGAGTTGGAGTACCAGCATTTTTTGAGACATGTGGTGAGGCTGGAATGACCGGTGAAGGGGATCCAATAATCTGTGTGGATGATGCAACAGGAGCAGTTGCTGACGGGTGTGTTGTGGCTTGCTCAGACACCAAGTCTGGAATGTGAATTACAACTGTGGCAGAAACTTCAGCAACACTAGGGCTAACTGAAGTAGTTAATTCAGATGTCTGGCCAGAAAACGGAGAGGATGATGGTGCTGTTGTTAGTTCCATATTTGAATCTGGGGATGAGACTGCTGAAGATGTTGGTGGAGACAGTGGTGATATTGCTGTTGTCTCCACAACATGTTTTGATGAAGGAACTTCACATATTACAGAAATGGGAACAGTTTCAAATGATTCTTCTGGGGCTTGTGGTTCCTCCTCACTCTGAGGGATATCAGTTGGCTCAGGGGACATTTTTTCTTGTGTGACACTGTCCTCCTCTTCAACTTCCTCTTCACCAGAGGAGCACTGAGTGATCTTTAAGTCAGGAATTGGATATAAAGCTTTAATCCCAGATACATCCTGAGTAGATTTAGAATCTGTAATATAAGGCTCCAAAATGCATTCAATAGGTTCAGCTAAGTTGTCTTCTTCCCCACTTGAAGGGATGAATATCACCTCAGGGGAATCATATGATGACTCAGACACAGTCAGAGGGGAGGCTGGAGACACAGGAGTTGACGGAGTAGGACTTGTTCCTGGTGTTAAAACATTATTTTGTGTCTTCAATCGCTCTTCATAGGCATCCTCTGTTTCCAACAGTGGCTTTGCATTTTTATCTGTAGAAAGTGCATAATTTCCAGAAATACTCACATAACAAGTGTCACTGACATCAAGTGGCAAGGATGTGTCGATCTTTGTTGCATGTGCTTGCTGAGCCTCCTTCTCTTTTTGCATGATCTTGCTTCTTTTATTCATCATCTCTTCATAAGCCTCATCTGGTGTCATAAGTATCCTCATTGACTCATGTTCAGACATCTTTCTCAAATCTTGCTCATGGGTGACTTTACCAAGAGCTGTTGCAGCCTGTTCTTGTTCTTCAACTAAAGTTTCATAAGCATAGTCCTCTATTAACATGCCTCCATATAATGGTTCAATATCAGGTGGTGTGAATTTCTCTGATGTTTTGTATTCCTGCGCTTTCTGCATCATTTCCTCATATACTTCTTCAGCAGTCTTTAATGCCTTCTCTGCTGCATCATGTGTTTCAGATGATAATGTTCTGTATTCTGCATTCTCTGGTTCAGATTCAAAACTAGGTGAAAATTCAGAGGAGGAGGAGGACTTCCATTCCTCCATCCCTGCTGCCTGCCTTAATTTATCAGTTTTAGTCAAATGATCCCGTCTCCTTTGCATTCCCAGATCAGCTCTTTCTGCATTTAATTTTTTCTTGATCTTTCTTAACTGTGGCTGATCATCTCTTTCATCTTCCTGCTCCATCTGTTCACCCTCCTCATGTAACTCATCCTCCTCAGATGAATCTTCTATAGTGGGAAGGGCCTGACCATGAGGTCTGTGTTTTGCCTTTCTTTGCTGTTTACTCTCCTCTCTGGCCTTTTTATGACTTGGGCTACTATCACTGTCTTCATCAATAGAGGACACAGAAGTAGGTGAAGCTGCTCCTGGTGTGATGCTAGACACCTGAACACTGGATGACCCATCACCCTTGGACGAGTCTTCAGTCAGACTCTCATGCTCCTCCGTGGTCTGTCTAACAGGAGTTTTTTGTGTGATGGCAACTGCTGTGGTGTCAGTAGCTATGATCTTCTCATTGTCATTTGACAAATCTATTTCCACTCTGATTTCTTCTAATGCTTCTGAGACCGGGATGACTTGGGCAACTTGATCATCTTGGTCGTGAGAAGACAGAGTGATATCAGAAATCTCCTCAGGCTCTACAGTAAGTTTCTTTAGGACACGTTTAGGCCTCATGGAATCATCCGATTTTTCAACTTCTCTGGTTTCTTGCTGTGAGTGTTGTTCTTCTCTGTGTTTTTCCTCATCAGAAGGCAAGTTCCCGTCTTCTCCCATGTGCATAAGTTGTCTGCGTATGAACTCTTCGTCATCTCCAGAACTGTCTAGATTGTAGTCCTCATCTTCCTGCTCCATCTGTTCACCCTCCTCATGTAACTCATCCTCCTCAGATGAATCTTCTATAGTGGGAAGGGCCTGACCATGAGGTCTGTGTTTTGCCTTTCTTTGCTGTTTACTCTCCTCTCTGGCCTTTTTATGACTTGGGCTACTATCACTGTCTTCATCAATAGAGGACACAGAAGTAGGTGAAGCTGCTCCTGGTGTGATGCTAGACACCTGAACACTGGATGACCCATCACCCTTGGACGAGTCTTCAGTCAGACTCTCATGCTCCTCCGTGGTCTGTCTAACAGGAGTTTTTTGTGTGATGGCAACTGCTGTGGTGTCAGTAGCTATGATCTTCTCATTGTCATTTGACAAATCTATTTCCACTCTGATTTCTTCTAATGCTTCTGAGACCGGGATGACTTGGGCAACTTGATCATCTTGGTCGTGAGAAGACAGAGTGATATCAGAAATCTCCTCAGGCTCTACAGTAAGTTTCTTTAGGACACGTTTAGGCCTCATGGAATCATCCGATTTTTCAACTTCTCTGGTTTCTTGCTGTGAGTGTTGTTCTTCTCTGTGTTTTTCCTCATCAGAAGGCAAGTTCCCGTCTTCTCCCATGTGCATAAGTTGTCTGCGTATGAACTCTTCGTCATCTCCAGAACTGTCTAGTTTGTAGTCCTCACTGCTGGAGGAAGCAGGCCTCACTCTTCTTCTCTGTATCTGAGGGGAGGGTTCACTCTCACTGCTGTCCTCGTGGTATTGTTTTACACTGTCTGGTGCTCTGACAGGCAACAGTTTTGTAGCGGTTTCTTTTATGCCCATTTCACTTACTCTCTGTATCTCCTTTAGCTCCTCCTCAGCCGAGCTGTACGATTCTACCGATACCGGCAAGATGTCCTTTTTATGTTGCTCTTTAATATCTGCTTTTAAAGTGTCTACTTTAGACATTTCTGGAAGACTGCTATCCATCTGTACCACAACATCTTTCTGTTGTCCTTCTATTGCAGGTTGAGTGTATATATCCTCTTTAACCTAAGGAAAATGAAGAAAGAAAAATGGCAAATACATTACATTAATATTGTAGCTCTTTTCTTAAAGGGGTCATATGATGCGATTTCAATTTTTCCTTTCTCTTTGGAGTGTTACAAGCTCTTGGTGCATAAAGAAGATCTGTAAAGTTGCAAAGACTAAAGTCAAAAATCCAGGATCAGCTTTCACCGTGGACGAAGCGGAGTCCAGCCCGGGGTCGTCACATGTGGTTGCCGCAAGCCCGCCGGACGCTCCTTCGTCGAATCCGCCGCCTCTGCTCACTCTAGCCCTCCGGCCGTATCTCACGCTAGCCCCCGGCTTCTGTTCACTCTAGGCTGCCGCCGCTCACTCAAGGCCGCCGTTTGTGACGCTGTGTTTCATTGTGAAAGCGAAACTACTTTGTTTGGCCTTCCAAAAATGGACACGACTAGAAATCAGTGGTTAAGTTGTATTTACAACACTGTTCCAGAACACTTCAACCCAAATATTCAGATCTGTGCAGCACATTTTATGGAGGACCGTTTCCTGATCCTGGGAGAGTAGACTACAATGCCGGCTGTTCTGACTCAAAGACTGTAAGTATGTTTTTTATATTTAAAGAGTTTTTACATTTTATATATTTAAAGCGAGTTTTTTGGGCAGTGTAGAGTAGGGCTTGTTGTTTGTCATTTCTCCGATCACAAATGCAGACGTGGTTTTATGTTTATGCGGCGCGATGCAACGCACTGGATGGCTAATCACAGCACACCTCGCTTTTTTAGAACGATGAGCTTTGTAAAAATCGACGCGTTTTAGAAAGGCGGGGCATAGAGGAGAAACAATAATGTACAGTATGTGGAAAATAATGTGTTTTTTGAACCTTAAACCGCATAAACACATTTCATTACACCAAATACACAAAATAATGTTCTTTTTAGCAGCATCATATGACCCCTTTAAAACATGCCTGCCTCCTATTCACGACTAACAATTTTTTTATACACTAAAATAAAATTATAATATAAAACAAATGTTTAAATGATCAAATAAAAAAAACGCATTGCTCAATAATGTATATGTAACATTATACCTTTACTACATTTGCCTCAGTTGGCACTGCTGGAAGCATAGACATCGGTTCTGTTTCTACTTGTGTCTCGTCAGGGCCTTTGTCTTTTCCTGTTTCTTTTAAAGTGACCTCAGCAGCAGTAAAAACAGCTTTCTGAGTCTCTGCAGCTGGTATTGGTGCCACCACAGCTGTCATCCCTGTCTGCAGCATATCTGTGGTAGGAACAACAGAGAGAGGTGCAGGGACAACTGGAGTGGTCACCGCTGCCTTTGCAACAGTAGTAGAAATGGTTTTCTCCTCCTCTGCCTGCTTTCCAAGTGATGGTTTTGGCTCAGATTTTGGAATAGGTGTCTGTGCAGGTGCAGGAGTTTCAGGCAGCTGTATTTTGGATGTGACTGTAGACTTGTCTTTTGGGCTGGATATTGGTATTTTTCCCATGTCTCCCAGCTGATCAGCTAGAGCTCTCTGTGTTTGACAATTCAAGCACAACCACTCAGCCTGGAAAAAAGACACATACAATAAGATTTGATAAATATACTGTAGTAAATAATTTTTTATTAAAATAATATTAAGAAAATATCTCAGAAATACAGACATCCTATTAATTTAGTGTCATCAAATATTCTGATGGTCCTAAATGGTACTAAACCCTTAGGGCATGTAATTTATTGAAAGACTGCAGAGAACAGCAATCAAATGCACAATAAATACACTGTCCTCAGCAATTTTACAAAGGCACTTTTCTTTTCATTATTCTGGCAAGTTAAAGCAGCAGAAAAACACCTGTCTCTGTTCCTACAGGGGACAGCGCTTACAGGGGTTTACACGTGTGTGTGTGTGTGTGTGTATGAGAAAGAATGAGAAAAAATGCTTGCACTGAGGACATGCTATGATTATAAAACATGCACGCTCGTGCACACACACACACACACACACACACACACACAGAAATACAGACATCCTATTAATTTAGTGTCATCAAATATTCTGATGGTCCTAAATGGTACTAAACCCTTAGGGCATGTAATTTATTGAAAGACTGCAGAGAACAGCAATCAAATGCACAATAAATACACTGTCCTCAGCAATTTTACAAAGGCACTTTTCTTTTCATTATTCTGGCAAGTTAAAGCAGCAGAAAAACACCTGTCTCTGTTCCTACAGGGGACAGCGCTTACAGGGGTTTACACGTGTGTGTGTGTGTGTGTGTATGAGAAAGAATGAGAAAAAATGCTTGCACTGAGGACATGCTATGATTATAAAACATGCACGCTCGTGCACACACACACACACACACACACACACACACACAGTCTTAACAGGAGATTAGGGTTTATTCCCACCTCCAGTGACGCAAACAAACCATAATTCATAGGCACATGGTCTGACTTGAACACTGTTCTTTATGAAGTAACACCCCCTCTGCCACTTTTGTCATACTCAAAGGCTTATTCACAAAACTGTGATTATAGACAAACATTTTCTTAGAAATTGCATTGTAAATCAAATAATTTAAAAAGCATGGGTATGCAAATGCATTCCAAAGGAAAGAAATTGAAAGACAAATCCCAAGACTAACTCCAGACTAAAGCTGTAACTCCTTTACATAGCTCAACATAGCTATCTATTAAAAATGCTGCTAAATCTCCCTATTTGTAGATCATTTGTATTTCATCTCTTTTGATCTAATGACATTTTATTAATGAATGCAACAGAAAGCTGACAGATGTATTCTGGATCTTTTTAACATTGTGTACTAGAAAGAATAAATGAGCCATAACCAGATGATGGTAGACACATGTAATCACAGACAAAGAGGATAAGTCAATGAGGCAGATCAAGACAGCCTTCCTTCTGGTAAAATACCAGACTAAAGAACAAGGGTTTGACTGGGTCATTACAAAGTGTCACCATGGAAATCAGATAAGATTTATGTCCCCAACAGCACAGTCTGTCTTGAGCCTTTAGTTCTGTATCAAAACCTAGTGAGCTGCTTAACTAGACAGCATCTAAGGCACCTCAGGTGTGTATAGGCAGGCTGAAAGCAACTATTCTTCAGACAGAAGGCACAATTAATCAAAGTTCAAAATGATTATCATAATGTACTAGTTGGCTCAATATTTTTTTTTATGCTATTGAACTGTAATCTTAGCAACATGCTAGTGTACATGAACATGCTAATTTTACTGAAATCTCATGAAGGGTAAAGAGTGTTCCAAAAGACAATTACATTTTAATCCACAAACGTATTAAACAGCAACAGATTGGAAAAACTTTGTAGTTCTTGTAAATTTGGGAAAATTTGTGAATAATTAGTAGTAATGGAGTCACATTGGTGAGGCAACTGCCTAGAGCAGCTTGTTTATTGAGAAAAGCCCTTAAGGGCACTTCTGAGCAAGAGAAGCTTCATGAGAAATAAAGTGCTTCTATTAAGGTTCAGCATCCAGTACTTATTAAATCCTGTAAATAATGCAACAAATACGAACATGATATAGTAGATACTAGCTTACTATAAACTAGATATGCAAATTTCCCTTATTAGAGCAAGATAAATTAACTCACAAACACAGCCATAACATGAATAGAAATGCCCATGGTTGCAAAAATAAATGAGAACAAGCTAATTTCAACACTGGCTATGGTTTTAGTAAAAGGTGCAATCATCACCACTAATTGGAAACTTGACGGCTTATACATATGCAAATCAGGAGAAGCCTGATTCAACGCACAGGACCATCAGAGCAGGGAGACCAATCAGGAGATTAATTAACAATAAAAAGAACCAATCATCTTTTCCAGATTGAACGACTTTGTGAAAGAATGTCCTCATCAATGCTGCTTGTCAGTACTGCAGGCAATGTAGAGTGCTGATCACGGCACATAAATAAAACCGCAAAAACAAAAAGACTGAATTGTGGGTGCTACAAACAGGAAATTATCCAAAAAGTGCTTAATCAAGGTGCTAAACAAGGACGCGCAAAACTGCATATTTTTGAAATAAATTAGCCTGTGTGTTGCCTGAACTACATGACTAATCTGTCTTATTATTTTGGGATTCACATAACTCCAATCAGCACACAGAATTTTATTTTCTTATTTTTGCAGAATAAATAGATATGCAAACTATGGTGATTCCAATAGTGTCGGGATATGACCGTTTTTCTTTTTAATAATATTTTGCCAGCATTCGCAATCTAAAGCAGCAAAATATCTTCAGTCATTCATAAAATTCTTCCTCTATTTTATCTAAATTATCTTCCTCAACTTTACTTGTCTGCTTTTTATTACAGTAGAGAAATGAGAAAAGGGCAACCGCAGAAGTATGCTTTTCAGATCAATCTGACTACATGCCATGGTGATTCCATTTATTCTACAAAGAGCAGTCAAGGAGACATATTACTTTCTAAGATCAATTATGTCTGCTCAAGCATTTGGGAAGAAATATCAATGTCAGCGACAGCATCCTTGATTAACAAAGTCATGATTCCTTTGTGATACATATATGATTCATTTGTGGGTGATTTACGCTTCTCTGGGAAAAATGGGCTTATACTGCATATTTGTTAGTTTCAAATCTTTCACTATGGAAATACTTCAACAAGGAGAGGTAAGAAACAGAAACAATCTGTCTCTGATAGATGAGGAAATAATATTTCACAAGAAAAATAAAACACAAACACCTACATTTTGAGCTCATTCTTACCAATGCTATAAAAGATAGCAATCCAGCCAACATAAGAATGAGAACAATAAATTCTGCACTCTGTTTTACTATGACTTTTTTCATGCAACGCAGCAGTGGGAGATCACGCAACATTACCCAACATCATAGCTTCCCACCTCACAGTGTTAGTATGGCTGGTTGCACTTGTTTTGCCATTCATGCCATTTGCTATGGAATATGAAATGCCAAAACTACTAGTACACTGGTACAAACTCCATCTTACAATTTACAATGTTTGACTGACAAAGATTTTCTCTTGTATGTTTAAAGTAGCGTTTTCAGAACTTCCATAATTTTTTCATGACTTTTTCAGTTGTTTGTGATGACTAATATTTATTATTTAGATGTATGTGCGTGTATCTCACAATTGCACTCACAAATAGTCATTTCTTGAAATACTGACTATAACCAAAAATGCATTGACTGACATTGAATTAGTCAAAAATGAATTTTATTTGACCTTTTAAGAATCTATTAAATTTGCATAACTTTTCCAGACCTAGGAATCATGCTTTTATGAACACCCTGAAAATAAATGTTTTGTTTTTCGTTTCCCACCCTTTTTTCAGCCCTCAAGGGTACTGCTGAGCAAGAGAGGCTTCACATAGAATAAAGTGCTTCTAATAAGGTTCAACATTCAGTACTCAATAAATCTAGTAAATAATACAACAAATACTAACATGATATAAAAAATAACATTTAAATATCTGACATCACTGGTTCTCTACGTATTAGATACATATGTATTCTCAAGTTTACTGCTGCATTATGTTCTTATGTCCAGTGTTCTTGGCTGTCCTTAGCCCTAATTTTATGTTGCGTTGGTAGCATCCTAGTAGAATGACTGTGAATAGTATTATTACTTGGTCCTTCCTGTTGCGCAAAGGCATCTCTGTGTCCGCCACAGCTGGTTCTGAACGCCATGCAAAGTCCTCTTTAATTACACACAACTAGCGAGGACCAGCAGGCCTGGAGACAAGCCTCATATGCGCCTTTGTTCTCAGCGATTAACCCCAGAGAAAAACACACCAGTTCTCAGATGATAAGACTCATCAAGCCTTACAGCACCACAACAAGGCACACTCCACTGAAGGAGATATCTGACCTTTTACCAAGCTCTAATCTGTTAAATCTGTTAAACTTCAACCAGCCAGGATGACTTGGGGTAATAGCGAATGGCTTAGCCATATAAGTTGCATCTTTTCAATATCTGAAAGCTATACTCACTGCAACCTGTTACTCTCCAGCATCTAGACAATTGCATTATTCCTTAAGAGCTCCTTAAGATAAGCTAAGGGCAGTACAATCTGCAATGCCAAAAGCCATTAGGATAATAACACTTTGTATTCAACATTCACTGCTGCAAAAGCTTGCTCTGTAAATAAATGCATACTAACAGCGTTCCAAGCTGCAGCTCTTTCAAAAAGTATACAATTGCATTTAGTAGTGCCACAAGTTTGCATAATATTCTAAAACATCTCACGGCACATTCCAGGTGAAATAAAACTACAGCCTGAGTTTTTTGATTTTGTCAGCCTGCCTGTACTACAAAGCGGGAAAAGATTTGCATTTGAGAAGTAAGATGAATTTATAGCCAAAGTTATATATTAGAGGTGCTATTCCTCCATGGGACCACAGCACTGCAGAGCAGAGTCTGACACCGTATTGATTCCTGGCAGCTGCCTTTGGCAACGGTTGTAACTGGCTAATATAGTGAGCTTTCAACCACCCCCGCAGCGGTACAGCCCCAATAAATCAGGCCCAATGGTAATAG